GAGAGAAGACTAACATGTTTGCAAATGCTGTTTTAGGCAGACTGCCGGTGACCACACGTACTCCATAGCTGCTGTGTAAAAGGTCTTAGGTGTAATATCTCATTTAATTTAGGGATTATCGTCCCTATTATAAAACAAAAACTATTTGAGAGAAATTAGTATGTTAAGAATATGCAGCAAGAGATACAGCTGGTCTTCCAGCCCACCAGTGTACCCCTGTTGGTTATACTATTGCAGAGATTAGCAGGACCTAATGTAGCTTTTAGCACAGATTTATTATGCAGAGAGAGTGAATGATCCCCCGCTGTTTATCACAGTGGTTATTTGAGGTTGACTCTTTGCAGATGAAAATACTGAGACTACTCTTACTGTCCATTCTCACATGAACATATAGTTCTTGGAGGAGTGTGAATTGTCATAACTTTTTTTTTTTTTCTGATCAAGCCTCGTTTATTTAGGGGAGGTTCTGGGTATATATAGGGGGTGATGGAATGAGGAAGTCTAGGCTCTTGGGGTGTCATAACTTTTTGAAAGGGAATTTGTCAGTGAGTATCAAAAATTCTGAATGGGTGTTTTGATCTAGCAGTTCTGCATTCAGAAATATTTACTGGTGAAATAATTGGAAAAGTGCACATTGTTGCATGCCCTAGGATGCACACCGTGGCATGGTTTTATAGAAAAATAATTGAGAAAAGAATTGCATGTTTGTGCATATAGTAATTATAAATAATAGAATATTATAAATTTTGTGTAATGAGCTATTTAGAGCTACTAAGAATGATGGCTTAATGTTGTTGATTTTTGTTGTTCACACTGTATTGTTTAGATGGCAAAGAGACGTCATCAAACTATATAAAGATAATTTATAGTATTATTGATACTTTGTAAAAGAAGGCTGTCTCTAATGGTGAGATTGCGAGGGATTTTTATTTGCTTTGTTTGACCATATTTCCTACCTTTTAGTTTTGAAAGTTAAGAGAATAATGACTGTAAGCCACCCGGACACACAAAACCTAGAACGGTTCTTTGATGGATATTAACACTTAGCTTCCTAAGCCTGTGAGTTTTAGTGTGATGAACTTCATGGTTTTTAATATTATTCTTAGTGAATTATGATTTGAAATTAACTCTAATCTGTTTGTTGCAGCTTGTATATGAATTTTTCATACGATTTTTGGAAAGCCAAGAATTCCAACCCAGCATTGCCAAAAAGTATATAGATCAGAAATTTGTATTGCAGGTAAGCAAGTTCTTGTGTTTGTTTTCATTGCTACAAGTTGCTAACACTATCTCATTTTCCTTTGGGTGTTTGTTTAGGAATCCTCTCACGATCATAGTTCAAGTGTTTGTTATTACCCATTAAGAGTAATAGGTACCTCTTTAATTTATTTGTGATAAATTAATTACATTTGAAACAGCCAGAAATGCTAATGCCTGTATCCTGGTAGCTTTCTTTCTTAGAGCTCGTCATAAAGGAGTTTCATGTATGTAACTCTGGCTTGTGTGACTCTATGTAGGTTCGACACTTCGGTTTGCATAGATTCTTACAGACCTTTAGATCTGTTAAAACTGGGTAGGCGAGCTCAGACTGCAGAGCATAAGCAACCTTTAATAAGTGATTGGAGTTAGTAGTACTGGCGAAATGACTCAGCTTAATAGTTTAAAATGTTCCTGAAGGGATTAACTCTACCTATTTTTAGAACTTTCCAGGAACACATTTTTCCTGACTTCTCATTTTCTAACCGTAAACGACATTTTCTTTTCTTGGTACTATACTTGCTTGGGTCACTTTTGCGGCAATGAATTTTCTTGCTTGCTTGCATTCATCTCTAACAATGGTTGCAAGCCAAATTGGTGTAGAGTCTATGGGAGGTCATTTCTGAGTGACTTGTGGGGTGTCTTGTATAGAAAGCAGTAAAAACCTAATCTACTGAACCACCAAGCAGAACTTGAAATTAAAAACATCACGTTGGCAGAAGGTTGATCTTTCTTTTCCAGAACAAAGGCTGATAACCATGAAGACCTCATTCCATTCCCTAATTGAGAAACTTAGAATTTGGGATTTGTAGGATGAGTCACAGCTGCTACTTGCAGTGTTTGGCATTAAAACCCTTACTGTGTAATAGGACTGAATCCAGGCGCACACCTAGGCAGAGGCCTAGAAGAACTGAGGCCCCAGGCGGCTCCTGTACCCCTGAGGCAGGTGGCTGAGGGGCATGAGACCTGAGTTCAGATGTGAGTCCAGAGCCAGAGAGGTGCTTTGCAGTCTGGTGTGGGTGCTGGTGCTGGTGCTGGTGCACCCATGAACCCCACCTCCCAGCTCGGGGGCGCCATCCAGCCATGCACCACACCTGGAGGACCTGGGACTGCCTGTTGGTCTTGGCTCTGAGACCAGGTCCTTCGTTCCACCCATTTTCTCTCCCCCCCCCCTTCTTAAAGTTGGAAGCCGTCCCCATCTCTGGGATGTCTTGTCTGTCTTAACTGTGACATGGACATCTGAACAGTGTCCAGAACCTGGTCAGGTCAGTGCGGCTGGGTTAGGCCTCCTGCTCATTGTTGACTTTGCATTTCTTTTTTTCCTTGGCCCACTCAGGCTGCCTTAAGGGCAGGTCTGCTGTAGCATGCAGTGCTGGGGATGGAACCGCAGTCCCTTGCCCCTGACTGATTTTACCCAAGCAGGCACTTTAGACAGCTGAGCTAACCTGCCAGCCCCATAGACTTCACATTTCTCACAGGAAGAATCTCAGTGTTTCTTGCCAGTTCACGTTAAGCTGTGGCCTGAACTGACTTCTGATTGACCTTTTGCATCTTGTAAAACCATGGTTTCCCTTGTTCTTATTTTATCAAGTAAAAAAAGAATTTTTTTTTTCTTTGCAGTACCAGGGATCAAACTGGGAACCTTGTGCGTGCCAGGCAGGCACTTATGCTGCTGAGCTGTCTCCCTGACCCGTTTTTATTTTATTATGTTGCTGGTTTTTAAATTTTTTTTTTTTTAATCTACACAGAGGATTTCACATCTTTTTTTCTCCTCTGTCTTCTGCACTGTGTTGCAGCTTCATGACCTCTATAACCCGCTTCAGTGTTCTAACTCTTGGCCTTACCTGAGCCACTGTTGCAGATGTTAAAACTAGCTAGGCAAGGCTGACAGAAGCATGGGCCTGGGTTCAGGAATTCTCTACTCTAAAACAGATTCATTCTTCAGTGGTCTTTGAATATTCTCTCTTTGAGCCAATGAGAGATTTCCTCTGCTAGGTTGTTCTTGCTGCAGTTGTTCCTCTTGTTCATAAGCAGAGTATAGTGTAGACTTGGTAAGCTGGTGTAAAAGCCAGGACTTCATGTTTACAGCGCCCCCACCTCTAGGAGCTGTGCTTTCATTATAAAAGGAATTGCATCATCTGCTCTGTGATGCGGTGCTGGACGCCAGGGTCCTTGTGTTTGATCCTGCCCTAAATGCTGTAAATCACAGGATTATTCATCAGTCCTAGAGTTCTGCCAAAGATAAGATAAGTGTAAGTGGTGACGTCCATTCATATAGTTTTATGTTTTTGGGCCCTTCTTTTTTCCAGCCTTCACCTTCCCTTGTTTCCCTTTTTCTGTGTTTTATCTGCTGGCAATTCTGTGGGGTGCCAACGCCACAAGCCTCCGTTCGCCCTGACTCCTGGTGCTGGGTGCTGGCTTGGTCCTCTTCGGAGCGGGTGGTCCTTTGAAGCCTGAGCAGTTAGTGCTGCTGCTGTTCACCTGTGACCCCTCAGGCCACAGCCCTGCCACCCCATCTTGCCTCCCCACTTCTGCACAGCCAAGAGGGCTTCCGTGTGCTGCCACATTCCTCTGCTTGTTTCTTACCCCATGGATTCATGGTGTCATCTGGCCTAGAATATTTTGCACTCCAGCCTAGATCTCTTGTGTCATGGAAACCCTCAGTACTTTTCTTTTTGACAGACCAAGAGGACATTTAACTTGTTCCTTTCTTTTGGGCAAATTTCTTATTTTCTGTAGATTCTTAGTGATCTCAAAAAGAATTTCACCTTAAAACTTGTTTATTGAGTAATTTCTTTTTTTTAACTTATGAAATTTAAACTTGTTTTCTATAGCAATTAAATGCATTCTTCACATTTTTTTTCTCCCTGCTTTTTGTCTTCCTGTCAGTGGACATAAAACTAAAATAAGAACTGAGCTACTTTGCTGTGAGCTGGTGGAATGTTAGGAAGCTCTGACTCCTGTTTTCTGTGAGTGCGTTTTAGGAGCTGAGAACGGAGCTGTAGAGATCGAGGAAACTGCATTTAAACCGTCACTCTTCTTCCCTTCAAGTGTGGCTGTCAGCTGGCTGCACACTTGAGTCCTGAGTCTGAGAGTCCTTGTTTGTGACTCAAGGATGATGGATGAAATGCTCTTAAGTGACAGCTGTTAGATCTGCTTAGCTCACTTGGCTGTCTGGACACAAATAAAGGATCCCTCCTTTCGTTTGTAAGCATATTGATGGTCTTAGCACACGTGCTTACTCCAAGCCACAGGGAGGCTATTTGGGAGACGAAACGAGGTGACTTGTTAAAATATCTGCTGCTGTCATATGTGGCGCTTAGTAGTTGCTCATTAAATATAAGTTCCACTTTATTACACATCTTCCTTATATTACTATCTGCCACTTTGGCAGGAAATTTTACTTTTGTTCCCAATATTAATTCTAAAGTCTTCATCCTTTGAAACATTTTTTTGAGTGTTGGAGAAGATCGAAACCAAGGCCTTGTGCATGCTAAGTGTGTGTCCTACCACTGAGTACATCCCTATCCTTGAAATAGAACTTAAAAGGTCTGTGTGAAACTTACAATAAAATCTTGGAAATCAGGCTCAAATAAGGGCAGAAATGTGACAGATTCCCTTGTGGGAAAACTCACCGTCATAATGATGTCCATAATATTCAAGTAATTGATGTATTTAGTGCAGTTCTGATTAAAATTTCATAGCTTCTTACTTGACATTTCAGAATTAATGGAATAAATTTTTGAGAAAAATGACTAATGATAAGAGTAATTTACCTATCAAATAATAAAATACCTTGATCCTTGGCACTCCAAAAATTACAATGAAGAATAATGTAAAGGTCCTTAATTAAAGCTTTGTGGTTGAAATGGCAGACTGGAATGTAGAGTGAGTTGGTATAGTTATTCTGAGGAGATGATCTTACAGTACTCTTAACCAAGTTTTGAGCTAGCAATTCAGTGAGAAAGAATCAGACGTGTCCAAAGTGATTGATAAAATATAAAGATATTGAATACATCATCCTTAATAATTATTATAAAGTTGGGAACAACTTAATTGTTTCTCAGTAGGAGATGGTTGGATAAATTTATGGATGTTTATCTAGTGCAGTGGTGGTCAACCTATGGCACACGGCCACCGGAGGTTGTGTGGATCATGGAAAGCTCTAGAAGGTTTGCATCACTGGTGCAGTGCAGTATTCATCAGTCGGTAGACCGAATGTGACAGGGCTTCCCATGACTAGTAAGTGTAATGTGCGTCCTGTGGAATGTGGTAGTTTTGAGCCTGTGCCTATTATTTTAAGGACAAGGGGGGATGTTTGTGTTTTTGTCTTAGTCTGTTGTTGTTTTTTTGTTTTGTTTTTTTTGCTTAACAGAATGCAGTAGTTCTCTTATCCAGAAGGGACATAGTCCCTGACCCTCATGTTAACCCTGCATATAAGCACTATGCTATAGTGACAGCTGGCTACTATGCGATTAGCAGGTGCTTATATATATATATATATATATCGAGTGAATATGCTGGGCTCAGGTGGTTCACAACCAGCATGGGAGAGGCAGGGTATTGGAAGATTTCCTTGTGCTCCTCAGAGTGACACACAGTTTAAAAACTGGATTATTTATTTTTAGAATTTAATATTTTCAGATCATGGTTGACTGTGGGTGACTACAGCCCCAACTGTTCCAGGGTAAGGGCCTACTGTGTCCGACTGGGTATTTTATAAAGAACAAACATTTATTTCTTACAGTTTTGGAATCTGGGAAGTCCAAGCTAAGTGCTGGTGTCTAGTGAGGCTGTCTTGCCATGTGCTCCCTTGGCAGATGGTGGAAGGGCAAGGGAGCATGGATGCTCCCCGTGCTTGCGTTGTGTCACGTTGTGTGGTGGCATAGTCATTCATGAGGGCAGCATCCCCAGGACCTGTGTGCTTCCTCGGTGCCGGCTGCAGCACTGTGCACTGGGGAGTAAGTTTAGGAAACATGCATC